CTGACACCCTCCTGCAATGTGTTCCCTGCTTCTCCCAGCTGCTTCCATGACCACCCCCTCCTCAGGGCAGGGCTGACAGTCCCATCTCTTGGCAAATCCATGCCTGTGATAGTCATGGGTGATGCTTTTGGCTTGTACTTGTTTGTTTCACAATGTGCTTTCAGTCTTTTTCTGATTGGGTCGTAACTATCTTAAGGCAACAAAGCTTTCTCCTGTTTCTTTTGCTGATGACCTCTGTGTCCAACTCTAACCCTTCTCCAAGGGACCTATTACAGCTAGGGGGTAAGCATCTGTCCTCTGTTTTTCCCAGCGTGATTATTAATAGAGCTCCCATTTGTCCCTGAAGAATTCTTTTTTGCGAGATAAATTACCCTAAGTTAAAGCAGTCATCACACGGATATTCCCAACCAAACTCATTAATTCGGCTCCCTCATTCCCAAGTCTGCTGTAGACTCTCTTATGATCTCCATCTTGAAAGATGCCCCTTGTTCACCAGCTGCCCAAGTTAAGAGGCTCTTTCCTGCGGCTTAACTCTATGTCTAAAGCAGTTGCCAAGCCCTGCCTCTGCAGCCCGCAGAAGCTCTCTCAAATGTATCCTTTCCTCTCCTTCCATTGCTGCTGTGGTTTAGATTGGGGTGGGGTGGAGATGTCATAAAATCAGAATCCTACCTGTGCCAGGCGGGTAAGTGAACCAGAGGGGGATGAGTATAAACACAGGGGCTCTCTGCCCATTCTTTCTTTTCAAACTTTTAATAGAGATTTGGGTTCAGTAAGTATCTTATTTTTTTCTTGATTCTCCAAAAGTTTAAAACAAAAAAAAAGCCTAAGAGCTTTGATAAATGTCATTGAGCCTCCGTCTTAGTGACTAGAGTAGCAGGCAGTAGTAATAGTGGTGACAGTGGTAGACTAGAGAGTGCAGTTCTCGTCTCCGAGGCCAGGTCCTACTGCTCAGCTCCAGCCAGGTGACTGTTAGCCCTGCAGGAAAGTGAGCCGCTATAGCCAGATCTGACTTTTCAAAATGGAAATCAGGATGACTTTAATGTGAAATCTCCCAATCCATAAGGGTTGATTTAAAAGTACTGCGTGGGCTAAACAAAACATCTGCAGCCCCTTTTGGCCCACAGGCTGTTTTTTTTGAGGGGCTGGTTTCAACCCTCACCTCCTCGTGTCTAGACTACTGCAGTAGTCTTGGGCATTCCACCCCTTCTGCTGTGACCTCCACACTGCCCCGGCTTTCCTCTCCAAATTACAGATCTCATCGCCCAAGAGCATTCTCTGAAGAAAGCTTTGCCATCCGCAGAATAAAGTACACATTCCTTAATGTTGCCTTAAGGTCTTTCTCTGACCAGACCGACTCCTTTCTCCAGCTGTGTCTCCCACCACCCTGTGCACACCCTGGCTGTGCTCTGCTCACACAGGACCACTTGCTCTCCCCTGAATAGTACCAATATTTAAAAAAATAATTGACTATTTTTTAGAACCATTAAATTTATGGAAAAATTGAACTGGTAATACAGAAGGTTTCTCCTCCCTACCTGCTTCCCCCAATTTTCTCCTACTATGAATATCTTGTATCTGTGTGGTACATTTGTTACAATTAATGAAGCAGTATTTACACATTATTATTAACTAAAGTCCATAGTTTAAGGTTCACTCTTTTGTTGGCATTACCAATATTTTAATACCCTTAAAATGTGTTTTAATTGTTTTCACTGCTTGCATACCCTTCCCTCGATTCTGGCAAGACTGTTTTCAAGGTCACATATGCATATCACTCTTTCTGCAAAGTCTTCTCTGACTGTTTATTGTTGGAATGGGGCTGCAAGGGAGGGAGCAGACAGAACACGGAAAAGAATCAACGTTGTTATCACATCCCTAGTGCATCCTAGTAGTATATATTCTCTTCTAAATCTCTCTACAGTCCTACAAGTTAGATATTATTGTAGGCCATTTACCATGGAGAAACAGAGGTTAAGTTGCCCAAAGCTCCAAAACTGATCATTGGTTTACACCTGTCTCTGCTCGGCTCCAGAATCCGTGCTCTTCGACTTTTCTATGAGGCCAGATTCTTAGCGCTAATCTAGCCTTCTTGCCTCCACTATCAGATGAGGCATCCACTGGGATGAGGAGCACAGCATGATTCAGCTGTCTCTTCCACTCCAGACACAGAAGTTGGCACCTACGATAGCTCACCAGACCCAAGGGAATGTGTCCTAAAGGAGTGAATATAGGAAGAAGCACCAAATACCGACATCGTTTTTATTTGGCAAATGCTTGTTGAATTCCTACAGTGCATCCAGACTTATTGGAGGGGGAGGTCAAGCATAAAAAGGAAAGTGATGACGATGCTGCCATGCAGGTTGTAAATCATGACCAGGCAGAGTCAGGAAAGCTAATGATTTTTCATGTCTCCATGACTAGAATGTAAGCTACAGGAAAGCAAGGAACTATCAGGTCTCTGCTGCAGCCCCTAGGACAGTGTCTGGTAATAAGAGTTGTTTAATAAATACTTGTTAACAGTGTTTGGATTCAGTTGCCAATTTGGGACACCTAAAATGACACGGAACTTCTGAGTTCTCATGTGTGTTCACTTAATCATCCTCCTTGGATCTTCTGAGTTCTCATGTGTGTTCACTTAATCATCCTCCTTGGATCTGGTAGCTTTGGTTTCTCTGTGCTTGGTTCAGTACAGGCCTGGGCCTGACTACTTTCTTAGCCTCAGAATTCTGTGGGACCAGAACTTTAGGAGAGTGGGGAAGAAAGAGTTGCCTTGCTCTTGCCATCCTTTAAGAGCTAATGGACAAACTGCCCGTCTTGGGAGCTGCCTGGAGCTCCTGAGTCTGACCTTGATCAAATCCTAGTTTCAGAGGGCCTGGCCTTGTACCTGGACCTCATGCCAAAGGATGGTCTCATTTTTCTTGACCCCAACACACTAACTGTCTTATGAGGGTAGTTGTGTATTCAAATTTTTTAATTAATTTTCTTAAAGAAAAATATCTCAAAAACATTAACCTGTTTCATACATTTGCTTATAAAACTTTCTTTCCTTTCTCCTTCCCCTGTCTTCTCTTCTCTTTCTCCTTCCCTGCCCCATTTTTTCCTTGACTGCTCTGACCCTGGCCCTTCCACATGCTTATTTCCACCACGGTTCTTTTCAGCATCCCTGTCTTTCCATTTGTCCTGTGTAAATAGATCGCTCTCCATTCCTGGTGAATAACTAGGATCACAATTGTCTGGTTTGTATCCAATGTGACAGAATTGTAGGCTGATTTTCATAAACCAGAGCTACCAAGCGTTTCAAAAACAGTTACTGTTTTTGCCAAGTAAGGTGAGCAAATACAGGACTAAGTTTAAACATCCACCAGGAGTTATTTTTGAAGTGATTGCTTCTAAATGAGAAGCATTTGAAAATCTCACAGGTTTCTTTACAAGTAAATTCCGAAGTCATGTATTTTGCTGGTGTCTGCTGATTAATTGCAATCCTGTGACACCATGAAAAGCCCTGGTGGTTGGTTTTGTGCAGCTGTAGAGAAAAGTAAAGCAAAGCCCAGTGACTTTGCCAGCTCTTTCAGGACAGTGGGGATTCAGGCTGAGGGAGGTATTTTTTCCCTCTGGCAGTCACCACATAAGAACAGAAGCTCTAGCCAGACCCATTGCTCCAGACTCCACGACGGGCGGTTTGGGTCCCTGCGGGGGTGTGGTGAAGGCACGACATATGATCTGTTGCTTCTGAAATAACAGATCCATTATTAGAGAAAGCATTTTCAGTCTCCACATTGGGACTTGTGTTCTCTCTCCTGTACAGTTACTTCTGTTCAGAAGAAATTTATTTTGATTCTCTAAACAGAAGGTACTTGGCATGTATTTGTTGTTGGTGATTGCAGACGTCTGACCCAGTAAAACCTGCCAGCTTACCCATTTAGGGTCTGATGACTCTGGATTGATTTTATCTGGCCTTTTCTGTTTCTCATTACCCCCTTCTATATCTAACTCTCAATTGTTTCACTATTGTTAGCCCCTTGTTGATAGGAGAGAACGAGAGGAAAACGTTGAATCTGGTTACACAGAAAGAATCATTCACAGCTCTAGAGAAGGATATAATAGGGAAAGAAAACAGATGTTATTAAAGTAGACTTTCAGAGTTCTTAGTGTGTTTATCTGTGCTTACTTTGCTGTACCCACCTCTTCCTCTTGATTTAGATAAGGAGGCTGGAGACTGAAGGATTTCTCTTGACATGCATTTTTCTCCTTGGCACTAGCCAAGGTCAGAAGATCTCATGTATGCCCTTGTCCTTATTCTTTGTCTGCTGTAGATTTGTACTCCTCACAGAGGCCTTGCGGATGTCATTGCTGAATCCAGTACATGCATACATGCATACGTGCATACACACGAGTATCCTTGTATAATTGGGGCATGTCTGCATTGCTGCATTCACTCCTGACATCGAAGGGAAGATCTGCTAAAAAAAAAAAAAAACCTAAATAGTTACAAACATCACTGCCCAGTATTTGCTAAGGCAAGAATTAGTTTGGCCTACTTCTTTAGCCAAGACTGTTCTAATGAACCCAGACATGTGAACCAGTTTAGACTCTCAAACAATTTATCTTTCTTTAAATTTAAGACTTTGACTTTAAAAGGCACATGTTGTTTTCCTGTGAGACAGCTAACATAGAGATGTTTGCATTTCTCTGCTGAAATCAATGTATAGGTGGTTTGTAACTAATCAACTCTTGTCGCTGATGATTGTGGGGCCACAGTCATCGGTTTTGGGGATTGTGTGAGAAACCCATAGCACAGGTATGGATTAAGAACTTGGGTTTCTCACCACTGCTACATCCTCCAAAACCAACATGCTTTTCTGCAAAGAGACCAGAGCTGCATTCTGCAGGTGTCTGTTTCCTTTGAGGGGAATATTTTAAGGAAACTTAAAAGGGAGGAACTGAGCATTTAGGAAAAATATATTTTCATAGCAGGAATTTTTTTTTCTTTTTTGGTTTAGGTTTTTCATTTGTTGCAAGCCTACTCAGACTCCAAACACAGAACGAATTCAGACTTCCAGCACGAGCTGACTGACATCACTGTTTGTACCAAAGCCAAACTCTGGCTGGCCAAGAGGTATGTTAAAATCCCACATGAGCAAGGAGTTATCAGGGGTTAGGAATACATTTGAGAATTGCTGTTTCTAGTTGTGGGGAGTTTTAAAAGTCATTGGCATGAGTTTTCTAAACTTATTGGAGTATTTATCCTTTTAGAACTTCGGGTTGTGGTAAAGAAAGAAAAATATTTTCTTGACAATTTTTCTAAAACTGCTAAGTGACTAAGGGGCATGTAACATGGCTTTTTATCTGCCCGCCAATCAGCTTGTTTTTATTGAAACCTGCTATGTGCCCAGTCCTGTGTTAGATATTATAACAATGAAAGGCAGTAATTGACTAAATCATGTGGTACAAACTCTTAGGTGCCCTGGCAACTCAGAGATTAGAGATTGCTGTAGACTCGAGCAGGCACTGAGAGACAGATAGGGTGTGAATAGCAAGAGGGGATGGAAGTTGCCATTCTTAGGTGGGAAGTAGGGTAGCTTGAATAAGCAAGGCAAAAAAGAGTAGAAACATAATTTTCATCCTTGCCATTGTTAGTTTATCCTGGAACTTAGAACATTTATTGTGTGAAAGATGAAGGAGTAAAAAGAATTTCTCATTTAATATACAGGGAGTACTCTCTGTAACGCCGTATTCAAAATCTGTGTTGCAGGACTCTGGCGGTGATAGGATAGTGTTAGCTGCAGAGGCCCCTGTAGGTCCTCTCTAAGTTCCACCAGAGTAGCTCCAGAAGAGGCGCATGTGTTAGTGTTACCACCTTTCCTGCCATAGTGCACACATTTGATTAAGAGTCAGTATATTGGCCAGGTATAGTGGTTCGTGTCTGTAATCCCAGCGCTTTGGGAGGCTGAGGCAGGAGGATTGCTTGAGCCCAGGAATTCAAGAACAGCCTGGATAACATAACAAGACCCCATCTCTACAAAACAACAACAACGAAAATTAGCCAGTTATGGTGGTGCATGCCTGTAGTCCCAGCTACTTGGAAGGCTAAGGCAGGAGGATGGTTTGGGCCCAGGAGTTTAAGGCTCTAGTGAGCTATGATTGCACCACTGCACTCGAGCCTGGGTGACAGAGCGAGACCTTGTTTCAAATAAATAAATTTCTGATGCTTAGAGTTTGAGAAACAAACAAGTTAAAAATATGTGTGTGTATATGTGTATATATATATGTATAGGCTGTCTAAGGTAGAAGCCTCTCTTTTTTATTTTTCAGAAAGTATGCTTCTGGTCACTTTTGTTGGGCTCTCTACCTTCTATGGCAAGTCAAGTAATGGGCTGTGTGAGGCTCTCAAATCAGTTTAATTCGACAAAGCATTGTTGAGCACAGGCTACCTGCCAGCCTTTGTGTTAGGAGATGTAGGGATACAAAAATATAAAAGAACTAGTCCTGGCTTCAGGGACTTCCAGGAAGTGGGAAAGATGTGTAAATACATAATTTTCCTCTGGTATATTAAGTGTTATAACAAATGTCTGTAATAGGTACAGCAGTACCCCAGAAGAGGGGTGAGGGAGGGCTGACATCAAACTGGCCATCAAGAGTGAGCCAGAATTTTGCCAACTGACCAACACAGGTAGGGGAATTCCAGGCTTAGGTAATAGCATAGGCAGAGACACAGCAATATGAAATGGCACTGTAGGCTTGCAGAACCATAAGGAAGTTCGCCCCCTGGAACCTAAAGTGTAAGGCACAAGTGACAGAGAATGGGGCTGCGGAAATATGCCCAGGCCACACAGTGAAAGCTTCTGAAAGAAACCTTTTGGTGAAGAAGCCAGTGGTGGATTTCCCCATGTGTGGATGTGTGTGTCTCAATTATTGTCTCAACATTAATAGCTTTGGACGGGGATATTGATGGAGAAATTATCTCGTGTCTGAAATGCCAGTAAAGTTATTGGGAGCCTCTCATTTTTAGTCTATTAGTCTGTTTTTTCTCCCTTTTTTTAGACAGGGTCATGCTCTGTCACCCAGGTTGGAGTGTAATGGCGCTACCACGGCTCACTGTGGCCTTGACCTCCTGGGGGCTCAGGTGATCCTTCCGCCTCAGTCCACTGAGCAGCTGGGACTACAGGCACACGCCACTATGCCCAGCTAATTTTTGTGGGTTTTTTTGGTGGAGAAGGAGTTTCAACAGGTTACCCAGGCTGGTCTCGAACTCCTGGGCTCAGGTGATCCACCTGCCTCGCCCACCCAAAGTGTTGGGATTACAGGCATGTGAGCCACTGCACCCAACCTGTTTTCTCCATTTTATTTAAAGAGTAGGAGTCGCTTACCCATAAAGTGTTTACCCAAGCCTAGTACCATTTGCCTTCTGTGTGGCTCTTAGCATCCCGAAGATACATATCACATCAGTACTCTTCAGCTGTTTGCCAGGTAATAGGCCACTTCTTCCTACCTGTTATTTCTGGAGATCAAGAAGTCAGGGCTGTCCAGAAATTATCCTCTGAAACCCTGCTTCTAGCCAGGACTGTCCCAAGTATCCTAACACTCCAGTTCTTAAAGTGCTTTGAGGAAGAAATTTCTGCCCCCTTATCTTGCTACTCCTTCATGCATCTCAGAGAAAGTCATTATCCACTGGCTTCCTGAGTCCATTACCTCTTGTTGAATGGGATAGAGGAGATGGAGTGGCAGGCCAGCCATTGAGTGGACCTTCATGTTGTGCGGTGCCTGAAGATGGCTGACAGAGCTGCCATCAGCTTCCTCTGCAGCTAAGAGGAAGAGAAGTCCTCCAGGCCTTTTTAAACCTGTCCTATGGTCCCTATTGCTATTTTCTAATTGGGCTTTCCATTCTCCTTCCCTCCACTCCCCACCCTACTTCTGATTTTTCTCCATGATTTTCCAGCTGTAGAAGACAAAGGCATGAATCACTGCAATTTACTGGGTTTCCACCTTCCTTGCCCAGAATCTAGGAAAGCCACTTTTCTGTTTCCAGTACAGTCAACTCTCTATTATCCAAGTGTGAACTTTCCGCTTTGTGGGTGGTCTGTAAATGGTTCCTAACACCAGGCTTCCTTTTGCTCCCCAGCACACTTTTACAAGTGTTAATCAGGATGTGTTCAGAGCCCGGAATAGAGTTTGGAAGGAAAACATACTGCCAGACAGCACAATGCATTCCAAAGCAATGTATCAGTTTTTCTATATTATCCACGTCATTGACAGGATAACTCTGAGGTTCCTAAATAGCAAATTATAGAACTGGGTATAAGTGATGAAGCCTCATTTTGTCCCGGAGGTCCCCTTGTTCCGAGAGTTGTCTGTCTATACTAGTTAACTCCATGCTCAGAAGAACCCCCTCTGGTCCTAGCGGTCCCTTCTCAGAACAGACTCCTGTCTTTACTTTCTCACCTGCCTTTTACATGAAGATATTACAGTGCAGAGTATTCCAAATTCAGCTACTGAAGAGGCTTTTTTATGTCCCTGGTAATTTGCACATGAAAGAAGAATAAATGTTCCTTTGAGCCTACTAAGGATTTTCTGTATCTTTTGAATGTAAGCTGTGAAAAATTAGTGTTTTTGCAAAGAAAAAAATGTTGGCTGAAATTTTAACACTGACACCCTTTTCCTTCCATAATTTATTTGATCATTAGTCAGAGTTTGTTCAGTCCCATAAGTACAAAAATGCTAGTGGATACGTATTTGTCCTTTTGTTCTCAAAGAAGGTTTTTAAAAAATTCATTGGTGCTATTGGATAACCAATTCAGTTTTTAAATTTTGACTCTGAAATTGAGGGCACATAACATGAAGACTTTTGTCATATATTTGTGTTTTGACTTTGCAAGATTAATAGGGATTTATATGAGGTGATTAAGCAATAGCCATGGAGTTGTTGGGGAATTTTTGGTGATGAATGGTCAGCTGGCAACATGGCTTCAGGAAAGGACTGGGCTTCTGCTCTTACAGGCTGCTTTTCTTTCCAAGATGTCAAAGCCTTAATGAAAATCAGCTCATTAATCCTTCAAGTCCTTTCCTTCCCCTTTTCCTCCACCCCTCCCTTCTTGATCCAGTTTACTGTCTCTCTCATGGGTCTAAGGCAGTTTACTAACTACTGAAAGAAAAGTAAACTGACCTAGACCAGAAACGAAATGAGAATAGCCATCTAGTAGGGGTCTGCTGCTGGCCTGGAAAGGATGGCAGTGGGCATCATGAGAGAGGAATCACCCAGTCTGACACTCATGCTAATTATAAAAACTTTTTTTTTTTTTAAGTTTTTTTTTTTCTTTATTTCTTTTTTTCTAGTGATGAGGTCTCGCTGTGTTGCCTGTGCTGGACTTGAACTCCTGGGCTCAAGCAGTCCTCCCACCAGAGTCTTCCAAGTAAGCTGGGATTACAGACATGAGCCCCGTGCCCTGCCACCCTTGCTATTTACAGATTCCAGCTCGGCTGTCCCAGCTAGATCACTTATTTACTTTGGCTGAGAGTTGTAATTAGTATTATATTAGGCTTAAATTTTTCAGAAGTGAATTTGGTTATCTAGTTTCTCCTTCTTTGGTTATAAAAGGAAAAAAAAAATAAGTGTATATGTGTATGTTTGTATATTGCATGAGTGTTTCTTTTAGTAAACTTAGTGAACTAAATGGACTAGTCAGGGCTGGGTGCGGTGGCTCATGCCTGTAATGCCAGCACTTTGAGAGGCCAAGGTGGGTGGATCACATGAGGCCAGAAGTTTGAGACCAGCCTGGCCAACATGGTGAAACCCAGTCTCTACTAAAAATACAAAAAATTAGCTGAGTGGTGGCACATGCCTGTAGTCCCAACTACTCGGGAGGCTGAGGCATGAGAATTGCTTGAACCTGGGAGGCGGAGGTTTCAGTGAACTGAGATCACACCACTGCATTCCAGCCTGTGCGACAGAAAAAGACTCTCTCTCAAGAAATGAATGAATGAATGCATGCATGTAGTGGATGTGATAACCAGAAATAAATATGTGCCCTACTAAAATTTTTTCACTGTTCTCTTCATTGTTGTGTGCTATATGCTTATCATAGAAAATTAGTCAAGTACAAAATTTGGAAGAGAGTAAAA